AGGCTGACGCCACGGCACTCACTCTACCCGGGCAAAAGAGTTGAGAATCTGTCTCCAAAAAAAAAAAAAAAAAAAGACCAAAGATGCCCACCTTGGAAAGCAGCTGATAATGTTCAACACTGTCTCCTTGGTCACAAATTTTGATTGATTGCTGTTTTATTTTAGGCCCCCTTTTAAGAGAAAGATATATGAACAATCTCAAGTGAATTCTAACAGAATCATATCCAGTTGAAACTATTACAATACAAGATATTTTAAGAATGAAGGAAACCAAAGCTTCTTCCCATACTGAGTGTTTTCTGACAGAGAGATATTTGTGTATTCTCCACCCAGGCCTAACCACCCTTCCACACAAATCCAGCTCTTGCACAAGCTCTTACCTAACGCCTTGGAGAAAAGGTAGAACCAAATTGTTCAACATTGCATTTTTTATTTAACTTGACACTCACTGTGAAAATAAAGCCAAAAGACAAAGTGATGGGGATGTTTTACAAAATAAACACAAAGTAAGAAATGGATCCTCTCAATATTTAAGGTTTCTATGTGTGTGTGTCTATCTCCCTAAATGACATACTATATTTTTGATCTAAGTAGTTGTTCTTTATGGTTGGAATTGAATGCTAATATTGCTCATTAGAACTAAATCTGTTTTTATTACTTTTTTCTTTACAGGGTCGTCATGTCAAAACAGGCCAGCTTGCAGCCATTAAGGTTATGGATGTCACAGGGGTAAGTATCTTTATCTTGCCATCTCAATAGGTATGCAGATGCTCCTTGACTTACCATGGGGCTGTGTCTTGATAAATCCATTGTAAATCAAAAATATTGTAATTCAAAAGTTCATTTAATACAACTAATCACGGCTTAGCCTAGCCTACCTTAAACATGCTCAGAACACTTACGTTAGCCTACACTTTGGCAAAACCATCTAATGCAAAGCCTATTTTATAATAAAGTGTTGAATATCTCGTGTAATTTATTGACTGTGGTACTGAAAGTGAAAAACAAAATGGTTGTAGAGGTACTTGAAGTATGGTTTCTACTGAATACAGATCACTTTCACACCATTGTGAAGTCAAAAATTGGTAAGTTGAAGCATCATAAGTTGGGGACCAGCTGTGTATTTGTAATAGAGAAGATAGTGATAAAAAATGTTTTTCAGGAAAATAATCTTCCTAAATATCTAATATCTTTCCCCATTTGGAGTTAATATAAAGAAGTAAGAGTATGCAACAGCTGATGGAGGAGACATGGGTACATCATTTTAATTAAATTTGATACCTACACACTGCCTTACATAGAGTGAAATGAATGCCAATAATTTACATAAACAGAACCATAGATATTTGCATATGAAGTCAGAACAAGGATTTCAAGGCATTAAATGAATAATACTGAGATTATTCAGAAGACATGAGTCTTAATAGTTTTCCCAAAGTCTACCTAACATTGGAGTAGGCAAGACCTTGGATAGCTCTAAAATCCTAGTAGGATATTTAATGTGAATATTTTCCCAAACAAAATATTATTGACCAGATATTCACAATAAACACAAAATCTTATCATTATAGAGCAACACTGAAACTGAATTTCTACCTGGATGATCAAAAGCAATCTAAGGAATAGACTTAGTTTTAAATACAATCTAATGCTTTCAATCCTTTCGCTAGGTCTATTCAAAATATTTTAATGCCTTTTCAAGAGTATAGAGTGAAAATCAGACATGAAAGGATTCACTGGACATCAAAAGCATGTTAATAGTTTTGTATTGTCCTGGGAATTTTTCTAAGATGTCTGTCTGCTGTACATGAAAGCTAGAAGACCAAAGTCTTCCATTCGGCCCAGAAGTGAATTATTCAATATAAGTAGACATAGAATGAACGGGTCACACACAGATAACAAGAATAATATACAAATAATAAAGACACTCAGTGTGTCTGTACATTAGATTTCAACTCATACCTTTTGAGCCCCGTTTGTTACCTTTGATAAGCGTCTGTTATATGGTAGTTACCTGTGATAATACAAATTTTATTAATTTTTATTTATACCACACATTGTACTGACTTTTTTTTTCTTACTCCTATTACTGATCAGAATTCCTTTTTAAATTACTTATATTTTTATTCAGTAAAAAATTTTGTTCCCATGTGTTTACTACTTGGATAAAGTACTACTTCTATTTATTTGTTTTAAATACATGATTCAAGTTTCAGATGTTGCAAAATAGTTCACATATTCAGTGCCAGTTAGTTTATTAATTCACCTGGCCTTTACTGCATAAGAAACTGCATGGAAATTATATTAATTAGGTTTAAGCTCTGCCACTTGAAACAGGAAACCCAAATGAACAAAATAATAAAGGATTAAGCATGATAGAGGTGTCATGCTCTCTCATGTTGAAGGAGTCTAGAGGCCGACCGTCCAGGGCTGTGTGTCAGTGATGCTGTAGAGTAGAAGGATGTTCTTATCCTTCCGTTCCATTATTCTAATGCATGGCCTCCACGCTTAAGGTCACTTTGTGGTTCAAGATGGTTGTTGATTTTCATTGATCACACTCTATGATAGGAAAAAAATGGGGGGGAGCAAAAAGGTACAGAAGATCCCCTTATGGTGAAATCTTTTGTACTTTCATACAATATTTCTACTTACTTCTGCCTTCATTGCTGTATCTAGCTGCAAGAGAAGCTGGAAAATGTAGGTTTTTTTTTTTTCTACCAATGTGTCAATTAAAAATCTAGGTTCTGTTAGTCAGAAATGAAGAGAGAGTGGATATTGGAATGTTCAATTAGCAGAGTCTGACACAAAAATTAAAATCAGATACTATCAGTCTCTACATAGAAACTCATTATAAATGTGCAAACCATTTACAAAGCTCCAACCACAGAACAAATCAGAATTTGTTTTGCAATTCAGCTGAAGTCATACTACTGTATTTTCCTTGGAGTGAGTAGGATCTCTGTATAATGAGATGTGCTTGGCAGTTTAACAACTAATGGTTGTGGATGAAGTCCAAGACATTCATGCTGTAGATTGAGTTCTATTGTGTGGTTCTGAAGAACTACAGTTGAATTCCGCTGACATCATTAATCTCAATGCATAAAGTGTATGTTGATGCACAAAGTATGACTTGAAAGCACTGAATATTACTCTTCTAGTTTCTGGTTCTATCTGTGAGACTTTTAATTTCAGAAAGCCACTCTTACTATTGCTAGATCACCTTACTTGAAATTAAAAGTTACAGTTATTTGACCCAGAGGATGTATTTTAAGTTTGAAGAGTGTCAGTTAGCCTTTCTAAACTGGGTTTCATTAGGCAACTAAGCCCTACAGAAAATGATTTGAGAGATTATTTTCTCATTCTCCCAAGGAAGGTATGGAGGTAAGGCCATTTCAGATGCAAAGCAGTGTCAATCCATATACAATGAGTGCTTTATAGTATTTAGGCTTAATCCTCTTGGAGAACCCCTGCTGAAAAGAGCTAGATAGTTTATGTGATTTAGTCACATTATTGATGATGACCCTTAACAAAGGCCAACATGGATACACATCAGGAAATGATTTTCTTATTTGCATGGTGTCATGGTAGCATCAAATGACTTTTATGTCACCCCCTTACACATCACAGTCAGCATAAGATTTCCTTTGTGAAACTCATGTAGGGCTTTTGGGAAACAATCTATTCCATTTTGCCATGTTGTCTTTTGTGTATTATGGAATGCTGCAAAAGCTTCTTACCAATTATTATAATTGTGCTCATTATAGCTGCTCTGTTAAAAACCGAGATGAATTCTCAAAGGTCATCTTTGTTAATTGTATGCTATGACCTACTGCAAAGTTACTATAGTTTATTGTAATGAAATTGATAAAGCCATAAGCTTGAAATCAATTTTTAAATTATTGTTTTTATTCTGGATCACATCTTTTTTATAGAAAATAGCCACAGAGAAAACTGGATAAAATGCTTATATCCCTGCAGTTTTAGAGCTGAGACACTCCAATATTTGTCAACATTTGCTTCAGAATTAGTGCTTAAACTCAGAGTTAGTCTTTGAAGTTCTCTTAGTTCCTGAAATCATTATGGAAATTTCCCCACTTCATCACTTTCTGAGGATTCCTTCCTGACTGTATTTGAGTTCTCCAGATTCACCTACAACATCTACCCTCTAGAGTAGTGTTTCTCAAAGTGGGCTACCAGCATCAGTGGGCAGGCTCAAGAGAATTGCAGATTCCTAGGCCTGCTGCAGAATTTCTGGGTGTAGCCTCAAAACCTGCCTTTTCTACAAGCTCCTCAAGGAGTATCACATACACCAAAGTGAGAAGACCACTTTTCTAGAGTCTTGTATTTATTCTCTTCTGGCCACCAAGTGTGAAGGGACTGTGGTTCTTTGATAACCCTGTAAATAATTTCACTTTCGTTTAAATAAAAATTCCTGGTGTAGGCCGGGCGCGGTGGCTCACGCCTGTAATCCTAGCACTCTCTGGGAGGCTGAGGCGGATGGATCGCTCAAGGTCAGGAGTTCGAGACCAGCCTGAGCAAGAGCGAGACCCCGTCTCTACTAAAAAATAGAAAGAAATGATCTGGACAACTAAAAATATATATAGAAAAAATTAGCCGGGCATGGTGGCGCATGTCTGTAGTCCCAGCTACTTGGGAGGCTGAGGCAGTAGGATCGCTTGAGCCCAGGAGTTTGAGGTTGCTGTGAGCTAGGCTGATGCCACGGCACTCTAGCCCGGGCAACAGAGTGAGACTCTGTCTCAAAAAAAAAAAAAAAAAATTCCTGGTGTAAACTAGTTCCTGAAGTGCATATAGGACTTAATGAAATAATAATATTGTATGCTTCCACCTTTACAATGAATGGTCCTGATTATATCTCTCAGGACACATTGGGTTGTCATACCAAACCTCCACTCAGACTACATGAAACCAAAAGGGAATGTACTGGCTTGTATAAATTAAAACAAATAAACCTGACATGATTAGGAATTTTGTCTCTCCATCTCTGGGCTCTGCTTTCTTCCCAGGCTCATGTTCTCGTTGCCTCTTTACCATTAGTCCTAGCAAAAGTGTCAGTCTGAGTATCAGTGTCCAGCTTGGGGTCGTGTCCCCAGCCCTGGACCAGTCCCTGATTCTCTTCAGCCGCGTCTGGTTGGATGCGTGGCTCTGCCACTGGGACTGAGAGTGGGGAAGGTTGATGCCTCAGAGAAGAACCTGAGAGCTCGTATAGAAAGGCTGGAAAGATGCTGGATAGACATAGTGGGTGTGTTTAAAACTGATTTGGGGGCCGGGCGCGGTGGCTCACGCCTGTAATCCTAGCTCTCTGGGAGGCCAAGGTGGGCGGATTGTTTGAGCTCAGGAGTTCGAAACCAGCCTGAGAAAGAGCGAGACCC